TTCTATCATCTGTCAAGGGAGCAACTTAAAGAATATTTAATTATCCATCAATATTAAAATTATTCTTTAGAAGTTTAAAAGGAATTTTTAACAACAGCTAAAAAGAATTAAAAAAGGGTGCTTCGAGCCACCAGATTTTTTGGTAACATAAACTTTTCCAATATCATCATTACTATTATTAAAATGAAAATGATGGTATTTTGTTATATTTGGTAAACTTCTATTAATATGCTCTATTGTTGAGTCATTTATAGCCTTTTCAACATGATAAACAGTATTTATGCATCTATTTCTATAAACTTTTTTGATTGATCCAAAAAATCCATCACAGATGAATTTAGTATGTCCAGGAATCATAAAATTTATATATATATTTTCATACCAACCCAACATTATTAACCATGACCAAAACCAAAGTGATAAATTATTCTCATTTTGGCCTGGACAATTATCACATGTCACATATAAATCTTTTTCAACATGTTGAGTCTTTTAAGGAAATCAAAGTTATATTTAAAGTTGTGTTAGCCCCTTTTGATGTTCCTTCTGGCAATTCATCTTCACCTATAGTATAATTTAGTTGATAATGTTTACCTTCATTGGTTTTAGTACATATACCAAAGATACTTATTTTAAAAGGGGTTTTAAAATAAATTGAACCAACTTGTTGAGGAGAATATGGTGCAGGAACACTTTGAGCCCAATCATAGCAGATATGAGTTGATGTTAAATCATTTTTACATTTTTCAATGATTTTATTATAATGTCATCTTTCACAATTTGCAGCTGCAAGATGTTCATCAGATTTGAATTTTATTTCAACAGTTGCATCATTATTTTGATTTTTTTTTTTCAATCTAAAAGTTTCACAATTCTTGCATAGATCATTTGAAGCCTCTAAAAATTTAATATGTGGTGTTGGTTGATTCCAAAGTCTCCAAAAAATTGTAAATTTTATAATTTGTACAAATGCATTAACAAGACCATCCTCAAAGCATTTTTCATACTCATGAAAAAACTGAACTATAACTATTTTCAGCTCTTAGATAAATATATGGGTCTGAATTATCATGAAGTCTTATTGGAGATGGTAATCCATGTAGATCAGCATAGTTTAGTATAAAAATTTTCACACTTTCTGCTACTTCTTTCAAATTGAAAAACCATCAATTGTGTTTTAATAGAAAGATCTTTTTATTTTTTATCTAAGCTTTTAAATTCAAAATGCCTTTCAAAAAAGTTTCTGAAAACCTATTTTTTTCAAGGCAGCTTTGTGAATCATTTTTCTCACATTTACAAGGAGAACTTTGGAAGAATGATTTTAAATCATCAATTACATCAATTACTAAATCATTTTTTTCATGATCTTCAAATTCTTCTAACTCTAATGAATTTTCTGATGTTGAATTAATTATAGACATGTTTTTAATAAAATTTTTTGAAGGTTCAATAAATTAAGATATCTTTAAAATAGAATTTATATATGAAAACTTATTCAATGATTTTTTATTTCAAAAACAAGAAAAAATTCACATTATTTATAAAAAATATTTTATAGAAATTTAAAAATAATCTTAGCTGTTATTATTAATATTAATCTTATATAAAAATTTCAATTGTTAAAGATATTTGGGAATTTTAAAATGCCAGTGGCTGGTTATGGTTTATATTCCCAAAATGCCAAATAGCTTAGTATCCAAAAATGACAATGGCTCATTGCAGTTATAACCATATAAATTTGTTATAACCAAAAGTGTCAACAAAAATCTAATTGTAAAGCAAAATGATTTCCAAAAATGGTAATTGAATTCCAAAAATATAGAAATGAAATGAATTTATTCATACAATAAAAAAAATTTCTTTTCTTTGTTGAAATAATATAATAATGATAATAATAACATACATAAATATCTCCTTGAATAATTTGTGATAAATAACGATCAAAATTTTTAGGGGCAAATTTTCCTTTTTTCGTGTAACAATTTTTAATCTCATGATTACTCAAAAAGATCTATTTTTACAAGAGGTCGGTTTTACTGGAAAAAGCCCCATATTAATATTAATATGTAAACTCGATAAGTCGGTCATGTCGGGGCGGACCCCTGCGATCGACTTATCGAATTTCACGTGGTTTTTTAATTTATTAAAATAAAAAATATTAACATCGAAAATATAAACATCGAAAATACACAGTGAGTCTCGGTATAACGGATATGTTTGTTCTAGGAAATTTATCCGCTATACCGAGTCATCCGTAATGCCGAGATAACCGTAAAAAATCGAATTTATTAAATCATGTGATACATGTTATGTAAAAAATTAATTTTATTTTTAATAATATGAATGCAAATAATAATGATGATAATAAAAATACAGTTGGTAAAAAATTAAAAAAAAAACAATTCATTCACTTAAAACGTTGACATTATAATAATCTTCCATTCTTGTTTGCACTTGTTCTTGAGAATTTTGTAAGAAATTTCACTTTTTAATCTTTTGACATTTCTAATTACTTGAAAATCAATATCTAAAATTTTTTGCTGTACATATTTAAGTATAATTTCCGGAGCTTTTATAGCTTCCATATTAATGATCATCAGCTCAGGTTCATTTGTTTCATTTGTTTCATCGTCATCAACTTCACTTTGTCCTTTACAATATTTACGATTTAGCATATAAAGAAATAAAAGGAAATGACATATTGATAGTGTCATTGCCAAGAAATATTACGAATAAAAATTATTAGATCTACGTTACTAAAATAGTAATGATGACCCTTTACATAATGAGATATCACGTGAGACCGACTTATCGCGACTTTATATAGATTGACCGACTTATCGAATTTTTTTAAATAGTAAAAAAACGGGGCGAAAATTTTTGGCCGAGTTAGGCCAAAACCAACTTATCGAGTGACCGACTTATCGAGTTTACATATGTATTCTGAAATTATTGCAGTTGTTTCACGTATCACGAATTAATATTGTAGAGCATACAAATAAATAAAATAAATAAATAATTAAATACATTGATGTAAAAGATGACACACTTTTTAATCATTATCTTTTGTTATTAATAAAGTACTATAATTCTTGGGTTCCATGGTAGACCTAATAATGTAAATTAACTTAATCTTAACTATTTTTATATAGGGGCAATTCTATATATCACTTAATGTTAAGGAAAAAACAAAGATAACGAACAAATGGAAGATTTTAATAATCACATTACAAATTTTGATCCCTGAAATTCTTGGTAACACCAATGTTCACTTTGTCTGGTTTTGTTGCAATATGTCCCATATACACATTGCAAATGCTTATTATTGCTAATACATATTGACATGCAGATCATACAGATCATAGGTGATAGGTATTGTTGTTAATTAGGTATTTGAGAATAATAAAAATGCATATAGCTAGTAATATACTTGACAAATGTCATTTTCTAATGGTCTGGACCTTAGATATTTAAAAAAGTTGTTTAATAAAATAAATAAGTATCAACCTGTTGTTCCAATTAAAACATTATAAAATTTTGTTTTATGCATTGTCATCCACCTTTATATCTAATAATAATTTGGTTTTTAAAACTCTCAATTGAAGAGCAGCAACTTTATCTACAAGTAAAATCATTATTTCAAACTATATATAAAATTAATAAATATATGAATATACATTGTATTTATATATTTATTATAATTGTATTATATTGAAAAAATTTATAAATTGTTTTATATGTAAATATATTATAGGGAATATGTACAAATGCATGATTTATATAAAAAATAATCAATTTTACAATATAAAATATCTAGATAAAAAATTAAACATATTAACTCATTATTAAAATGTTATTATTATAATTATCAATCCAAATAATATAAATCTATATAATATATTTTGTAAAATATATCATCAAACTAATTAATGTTAATATTATTCTAATTGTTGTTGTTGCTATTATTCTTCCTGTACTTATTCTTGTTGGTTAAATGCAATTTTATTGTTTTCAAAGAATTCTCTTAGGTTTGAACCACCACCACCTGTTATAAGTTCAAGATCTCTTGTTACTTGTAATTTATGAGAAATCCCCAAATAACCTTGCAAACCCCATAATTCCAACAAATAAGCAGTTAGTTTATTGTCAGCAGTCAAGTCCATCAATACTTGCCTTAATTGATTGACAGGCATCAATTTTATCTTAATATCACAACCAAGACCTAATGATGCTTTTGATCCAATTTCATCAATAGTAAGTAAGTTTGGGCCAGTTATTTTGTATTCCTTCCCTCCATGCCTTTGTGGAGGACAGTAAAGTATGTGACAGCATGATCTAGCAACATCATTGATATCACAACATTCAAAAGTCATTTGTGGATTGTCTATCAGTGGGATTGTTGATTGTTCAATAATATATTTGGCAAAGTATAATAAATGTTGATGCAATACACCAGGATATCTTAATATTGTGATTTGTGATGGTTGAAAAGTTTCCTTGAGCAAAGATTCAATAGATTCAAATTGACTTCTATAAGATCTATTCTTATTATTAATTATTTCATTGTCATTATTATTCTCTTCAGTAGGTGTAAGTGGCGGTGAGTATGGTGTATCCAATTTGGTGAACGGTGTTGGAAATACAATATGTTCAACATTTGCTTCTTTTGCAGCATTTATATAGCTAAAATAATAATAATTGTTTGATTATTATGCTATTATTTGAAAATAAAAGAATTTCTATCCCCCAAAAAATTTATATTTACCCTTTTGCAAATGTAAATGCATCATTACGAGTGATTTCACCACCAAGTGGATCAACCAACAATAATAACTTGGACACATTATTTAAAGCATGTATTACGGTTTCTGGTTTATTTATTGGATCAATCTCTACTGCAATAGTACCTTCCTTCTCTAATATAGTAGAAGATTGAATTGTTTGATGACTTACCCCAGCATATACTGGTATTTTTTGTAAATGTAGGTGAAGATTTTGCATTTCTACAAGACTATCTATTATAAAAGAACCTAATAAATAATTTATAATTTATTGTTAATAAAACTATTATTGCGAGAGTGCTATAATTAATTTTATATAAAACTAACCAATTCGACTATCTGCTCCTGTAATGTAAATTGCATTCTTGAACTGCATTTTCTAAAATATTTTATTACTATTGTTATTTATTTTCAAGAAGAATTTTTTTGATTGGTTGTATCAATCAACAAAAATATTATAGCATGTCATATATTTTTTTAATACACGTTTTTTTTTACGTCATTTAAATTGCTTTATATAAATTTGATAATATATTTTAAGATAACATTGTAAAAAATCATTTGATCTTATCTTATATCATTATCAATCATTAATTTGTGTTCACCGAAATCGATCAATGAATTGAATTATTTTTTTTATTGTGACTTTGCAGCATTTATTTATGAATGAAAAATATTATTTATGTTAAACCGAGTAATCCCACCCCCTGAAGTTCTATTTCATTAGCTATTACTCAAAAAATAAATAAATGATAAGGTAAAGAAATGTGCACAAGTATCAACTTTTGTTGCTGTTTCATTTACAATGACTCTCTATTTACAACAGACTTTATATAAGTGAAGTCACACAATAATCAACTTAATAAACTCTCTTTAGCAAACGGAGGCACAGAAATATGAGGTTTGTTATAGAGAGAATGAACTGTATAATCAATCATACTTTTTGAACATTAAAAATGTTTGACAAATATTATCATACAAACATGTAAGGTTAGAAGCCTTCATTGGACCTAATTATCGATAACCAGTGAATGTCATTCGGTAGATACAACCACTATATTTGGGGCATGATTCTTCATTTTTTTATTAAGCAAACAGGGTTCACCAGTTAGTTAATCTAGATGTTATAGGATAGTATGGGACCCTGCAAACTTCATAGATAGGTTACCGCCACAACTAGGTCAAATTCATATATAAATTAAAATTTTTTGTGCAGATCATCTATAATCATTAATTGCTTATAGTAACAATTGGTCAACTTCAAAATACTAAAACAAAAAAAATTATATCATTTTAAAAAATTTAACCGATAAGTTTTATTGTTCATGACTCAAGCTTCAAAATTTATTGGCTGGTTTTTCTTAAACTGAAAATTGGCAGAACCTTAGCATTTTGAAAATTCCGAATTTTGTTATACATTTAAGAAATTGAGACTAAGTAAATTTCGTGTAACAATTTT